AATTATTATATTCTTGGAACAATTCAATTTGTCAAAAGTAAGGATGGCAAAAAGTCAAACTTCTTGTGATACAAGAATTAAGCACCTGTTTCGAGGAAATTTTTAGGCCAAAAAAATTGCTTTTTGGACCGTTAAAAACCATTTGTAGTTATTATTGTTGACCAATAATCTCAAAAGTGGGCCCCAACTGACCAAAAAAGGGTCAAAAATTTGCTTTTCCGTGTGTGGAAAAGTTGCTCTAAACAGGCCCTAAGTAAATCTTATCATTCGAATAATTCAAGTAGTCAAAAGTAACGGTGGCAAAAAGTTCCACCCTCACCAACCTTGAACTCGCGTCAATTCTTATTTTAATTTAAATTTAAATCATATTTAAAAGAATAGAAATAAATAATAGAAGTGGCTGGAAATTAAGATATTTTAATCTCCATCACCGCTTGCCAAGCCTCTTGAAGCAACAAGAAACAAAAAAGGGTCGATTCAACAAATATTGACACTTTGATGCAACCGTTGAAGAATGGTTGAAATATAGAAGATATGGAATAGATATTTGAAAGTCGTAATATTATCATTTGAACGAAAATTAACTTGTCGATTTTAATTGAACAAAAAATTTCGTCGAAGACTAACGATGTTTGAAGTTCAAAGGTTGCAGACGACACTGTCGAACAAAATAGATTGGAGACCAAGTTGCATCAAAGGTTGTAAAATTTAATAAAATCTCTTCACAATTGATTTGCATTCCTTTTATTACAATTTTCAATCATTTATATAGAAAAAATAAATGTTTAAAAATCGTTAAAAATAAAAGTGAAGAAGACATTTACACATTTGTTACAATATATTATAAAATTAATATTTGATCGGAGTAAACAGTAATCTATATTACTTAAACTTCTTTTTTCTCTAATATTACTGTGTAATTCACGTCCCTTGTTAATTACTCACGACACACTTGTCTTCTTGTAATATATATGTACAAGATCGACTGGTAAAAATAAATAAAAATAAATAAAAATTAAAAAAAATTAATAATAATTATATAACTCGATGAATTCTAAATTAGGAGATCCCTAACAGCTTTATTAGAATCCCAGAAGATATTTCTAGGTCGGGCGTTACATTCTTGTCTGCTGTTCAATTTGTACATTATACCTGGTACACTTTTTAATTGCATCATTGGCGCTGTCTGTGAAACGACAGAAACATACCTAATAGTCAATTTACTTCAAGATCACAACATCGAGACACTAATATTATCGAAAGGGTTGTGTTCTGCAAAAGTTTTACCATACCCTATAAGTGATGCCTTCATTCTTGTTCGATAGCCAATGTCAAAGAACTAAGACGAGAAAACCATTCAAGAAACTCAAGTAGAGGAATGAAAATAAGAGTCTCAGTTAAATAAGACAATCATGTAATTGTCTTACATTGAGTAGAAACCTAAGTCATCAGGACGGCCACAGCCAAACAGCCTCCACAGTGAACAAAGTTTCACTAATATTTTCAACTTCTTAAGGCCTAAAAACTAATATGCTTAGACGACTAAACATTCAAAAAGTTATAAACTTCGGCTGAAGTTTGTTGCTAACGATGATTCACCTCGTTGCTCCTTTGCAAAATGTTAATAAATCTTCCTTGAAATTATGCACGCGACTGCTCAAAGGGGACTCGAATGAAGAGACGTCCATGCATGCTAACCACAGCAGAAGTCATATGTGGATTAATTCTGGCAGGTAAGCTAACCACCTGAAATCATGTGTAACTGGTTAATCATATTCGAGTCTCTACCCTTCAAAATTAAGCCCTTGTTTGAGCCCTATTTTTTCATCAAAATTCATTCTTCAACAGTGATTTAACCACACGTCAACCACACATTCTTCAATAAAAAAATATTACACGCAAATTCAAAGATTTTCTTTATTTTTTAACCACACATTTCCCATCAATACACTATTCAAAAATGCATTTTTTGGACAAGAATGTGGCTCAAACAAGGGCTAAATAGAAAACTACATATCCGTGCACTAATATGGATAATTTGATTTTCCCCTCTGATATCAACAAGATAGTAGAAAGGCAAAACACTCCCTATATGAACAGATTGAAACATAGAAACGGAATATTCAATTACTATGCTTTTTAAGCTATTAATATATTCAGGTATGAAATCCATTTCAGTTCTGATTTTTCCCATAAACCAAACACACCCATTTCAGTAATTAATTTTTCAGAACCACTCGTCCTATTCAGAAATTTGACACACTTATTTGACAAATTATTGTGACATTTAATTTAAGTCAATCCAATGATCAATATCTTATTTGATCAAACTCTCCAATGATCCTAGTGAAATACATGTTGAGCGTTGGATTAACTTAAATTAAAGGTCATGATTATTTTTCAAATAAGTGCGTCAATTTTTTTGAGGAGGAACGGTCCCGTTAATTTTTTACTAGTATGACGAGATCATGAACTGATGAGATTTAACAATACGAAATATATGGCATCAAATTCCTGTTGTAAGTCTTAAGACAAAAGATTACCTTTTTGAATGCTGTAGTGCCCCAGGGGTTCTCTGGTTGCTCGGGCTCACCAGTTATCACTAAACGTCCAGCAGGATCGGATTGAACTCGCACCTAAGTACACCAATAAGGAAAAGCATCACATTGTTTGAGTTTGCAATCTCACTTTGAGCCGTAAAAGAATACATTTAAATTCCTTAGCAGATGAAAAGAAACAGAAACAGAAACAGAATTGATTTTACGAGTAGTTTTTAATTAGAGGTTCAGAATTCAGATGGCCTTCTTGCTAGGAAATTTTATTACAACTTGATTTGAACACGTAGAAACGCAAAATTCAAGTATCCATTTTAGCTTTTATTACAGCTGCTGCAAATATTGACCTATGTAAGAGAACTCTGAAGTAAATGAAAAGCTTTAACAGAGAAAAACTGCTGTCTATTGTGAATTCCTTATTTTTTCATATCACCAATCCTGTGAGAAACTTCATAATTGAACTGGTCGAACCGGTTACTCCTTAGGCAATAGCTTTTAGTTTCAAATCATATGCAATAAACCAAGACAATTCATCTATGTTGCGCTGTGACAGCTGATCATACCATAGCCCTCGTATTTTTGCAACAGTGATAATAATGATGTTGATTTTTTAGGGAAAAAATAGAGCCTATATGCTCCAAGAAATAAAAACTTAGGGGTAAGTTATGGACAGCAGAATTACGCAACGAAACAGTTTCTAACTAGGAAATGAAGATGGAAAATCAATATTTGTGTAAAGATAAGATAATGTGAACTTTATGACAAGGTTGCAGGAAGTACAGACCTCTTCACGCGAAAGCCCAGGGACTAGTGCATAAACCTCAAAACAATCTTTCTGCACATAGAGAATCAGTCACTGTTAGAATTCTCCTCCAGCAGTTACACTCGTGTGGAGGTAAAAAGACGTGAGAGAATTTGCAGAGTTTGACAGAAACGTACAGTTTGGCGTATGTTGATCTTTACCCAATCAGCTGGGGCACCAACATCAACAACCGATGTAACCACCCTGGCAAAGAAAAACAATTCAGAAAAGCACGTGGCCGGTGGAAAAATGCAAGAGTGAAATCACTTCTCTGAGAGAGAGAGAGAGATTGGTTGAAAGCACATAAACAGCAACTAACATGCAAACACGTGTACAGTAACAAAGATGCAAACAAGCCATCCATTCTTAGAGCCAGCTTGGATACTATTTTGACACAAACACAATTCCCAGCACTTTTAGAAATTACTTACAATGAAACACTGAGGAGACAAGTTTAAATACCCTATCACATAAAAAGGTCTATCCTAATGAGAATTTTCTGAGTTAATGCTGCAGCACATATCCAAAGAAACTACCATCACTGGTAGCTTTTGGCATCATTGCTTCTTGATTACAGTTGTCTAACCTAACATATTAGTTCCCAAATTATTGTAGAAACGTAAGCATAATGGACACCTCAATATAAATTCTTTAAAACTATTGATTGATTGGCTAAGATGTTCCTCGTGTGTTAGCATAAGCTCATATGCTCGTGTTACTACATTAATCGTCGATGCTAGAACTAATATTTTTATTGAAGAACGAAATACAGATGTCAAGCATAACAATTTAACAATCTACCTAATAGACAGGTTGTTTGCAGGTAATTTGGAGGATCCTACAAGGATATTGAGAGCATTTGAACAAGGACAAAACTTAAAACTCGCATGATACAAAAATAATAATAATAATAATAATAATAATAATAATAATAATAATAATAATAATACACCTTGGGTGGATGAATGGCAAATGAAACAAAATCGGTTGCTGGTCGTAATGTACATTTAAAGGTCAATTTCAATTCCTTGCCAAAAAATGCATATTGTCTTCGAGATATAGATCAGCCTAATTTTCACAAACAGAAGAGAGTATAAACGTTCAAATAATGGCAAGCCTTAACTGCTTAAATGCTTCCATACGTGCTGCTTTCACTGGATGCTCCACTTCGTTTGGTCTCTTCTGTTTAAGTGAGCCTAAATGCACACACCGGATACGAGACAACAGTTTAGTTTTCATTTATCCTGAAAACTAAAAGGACTAATACTAACAGGACTTGCACATATATGTTACTTCCAGAATTAAATAACTTCTTACAATTCCATTTCTTACAATTTCAAAGATGTTGAACTAAAATGGTGCTTATATTTCAGACACTTTTAAATGAAGCAACCTTACCAATACTTTTGAGGTTTTTCTCACGCTTTGCCATATTGTTCAGATAATTGTCCTATCAAAATATTATTAACAGTGAAATTAAAATAGAAAATGAGAACTGCATAGGTTGAAAAAGTCAAAAGATAGACTAGAAGATGAATTAAAAGATATGGATTCCTGCATACCTTTACAATTGGCTCCCCAACCTCACCAGAATCATAAAGACGTTGTACATGCCAACCTTGCATGGCACGAGCAGCAGCATCTCTTCTACCACTACCTGGTCCTGAACTTGATCCATCGTAGCCGATTCCCTGTGTAATTCATATAAAAATGTTCAAATTGTATATCATACACCAATTATTATGTAAATGCAAGACACTATTAATGTTCACATGTACATACATGTGTTTGCACAAAAATATATATAGTGGACTGGAGTACAGTGAAAACAAAAAAGAATAATGTACAAATAGTTCCACAAGTAATTTTATATTTTTTTTTGATAGGTAATCATAATTTTATTAATTAAAAGAGATTACACGGGATGTGTACAATCACTTTAAGCAAGAGAGGAACATCATGAAATTAGGCAACCCTTCTACAGGATTTTTAGCCGCGGCATTAAACCAATTATACAAAGTCAAATAAAACATTTCCCTAATCTGCACTATTGTCTTTGTTTGATCTTCGAAACAGCGGTTGTTCCTTTCTTTTCAAACACACCATGCAATGCATCCCGGAATAAGGTTTCATACAAGTTTACTATCCTTATCATGAAATTTTCGCCTCCATGCTTGCAATATGTCCTCTATGCGCCTTGGCAGCACCTAAACCAAAGATTGAGAAGTCAGGATATTGTTCCAAAGCCAGCGAACACCATCACAATGAATGAACAAGTGGTCTACCGTCTCCCCATCCCTTTTGCACATATAGCACCACTCGATTACATAAAAGCCTTTTCGTCGAAGATTATTCACCATTGGCACCTGCCCCCTTACAATCATCCACAATAAGAATGCTGCCCATGGAGGCAATTTCCTTTGCCACACCAGCTTCCAGGGGAATGAACTCTCCATAGGTCCCAAAAGGGATCTAAAATAAGTGCGGCAGAAAAGATACCATCTCATGCCAACTTCCACCTACTACAATCATTCTCTCCTAATCGAATCTGTACCTTATGTAGAGATGTCAAAAACAACGAATAATCATCCAACTCTCAATCCTGTAAGCCCCTCTCAAAAGTAATATTCCAGTTGTAATTCTCATTATGAATGACTAATACATCACTCACCATAGCAGAAGACACTAAAGAAATGCGGTGCAAAGAAGGAAATCCTAACTTCAGCGGTTGATCACCACACCAACAATCATCCCAAAATCTGATATCATTATCATTCCCCACCACAAAATTCAATTTGTCCTGAGAATCACTCCATCCCCGTCGAATATACCTCCACAAACCCACCCCATAGGAACCGCAACCCCGAACAGTACACCAACCCCCCTCCATCACACCATACTTCTCATCTATGATTTCTCTCCAAAAGTTCTCTCTCTCTCTACTCCAAATCGCCACAAACACTTACCCAATAAGGCCTTATTAAACAAAACAAGACTCCTAACTCCAAGGCCCCCCATCCTCATAGGCAAACAAACAATACCCTAATTAACCAAATGAAGTTTTCTCTCCTCCCCCATTCCTACCCAGAGAAATTCCCTTTTTGAAGTCTCTCTAATCTATTTGTCACTGCAGTCGAAATAGGGAACAATGACAAAAAGTAAGTAGGGAGATTAGAGAGAGTGGATTTAATGAGTATAAGTCGGCCTCCCTTAGAGAGGTACATACGCTTCCACCCTGACAAGTCTTTTATTTTTGTAAACAAGAAGTGAAAATAATTTCAAAATTGGAAAGAGCAATGGTATATACCACTGACAGTGGTTCCTCACCGTCCATGTACGGACAAACAAGAGGTATAAATTTTCACCCTTGTGCGTTTAACATAGGATTTGTTTCCAAATGGAGGAAAGTGTCACATATTACCAAAGGTACACACTAATCCTCCACTCTAAAAGTATTTACCTATATGCAGAAATGGTTAGCTGTGTGGCAGGTTTAGTAGGCACATAAGGAATTTAAACAAAGAGACAAAATGAGAGAAGTAATAAAGTCAGGCCAGTCTTCAGTAATCCCACTCTCTAAAGAATATAGGTAAAGTTCTTAAAGGTATGCATCACGTTGTACTCATAAACAGTTCTTGAGCAAAGTCATGAAAACCCATCAAATTCCTCATTATAGTAAAAGAATCTCTAAGACTAAGTGGTTGTTTGGTATTCCTTTAAAGTATTTATAATTTATAAGCTGTAGGTTCAACAAAATGTGAGGATAATAAGTAGATATAAAATAGTGGATTCTAAGAAATGTGCGGATAAAAAGTATGTTTTAAGCTTTGCCGAACATGAATTAAGTACTTTCCTCTACTACCACACAAACAAAATTAGAGGCACTAATGGTTGCAGCATTTGTTTCTTCTCTAAAATCTAAAAAATGTCACTGGGTTTTAACCATAGCCCACTAGCCAAGAATTTGTCGAGAATTTTAGGGTGCGGTTGGTTTCCATTTTCATTTTCCATTTTCATTTTCAAAACGATTTTTAGTTTTTCTCGAAAACGGCCCATTTTCCGCGTTTTGAGCGTTTTCGACATTTATAACTGAAAATGTTGAAAACGATAAAAAATCATTTTGCGTTTTCAGTTATAAATTTTAACTCATTTTCGAAAATACGTTTTTGAAAAAGACGGACCAAACGCGTTTTTCGCGTTTTCGAAAATGGAAAACGGAAAATGGGCCGAAAACGGCAAACCAACCACGGCCTTAAATTTTCCACTTTCTAGAGTGGCACTATAATGGGGCAGGATTCTGACTGTAAAAAATGAATCCTGATTGTAAAACATACTCCATCCATCTCATTTACATTGGTCTGGAATCTGGATCGTCTTTAGGACATATGACTATAATTTTCCTATTTCACACCCACTTTATATCATCCAATTGTAGTTCAGAAAAAAATGAGCATAGTTCATATAATAAAAATTCTCTTTATTTCCACTGTTCCAGATCAGCAGCATGCCACAGTGACAAAAACTTGCAGAGCATAACCACATCCATTCCAAAGTATCTGCTGTTTTGGAACTAGCCACAAAAGGGGAAAAAGGACAAAAAACATGAAAGAGAGAGTTTTAATGGTAGCATAGTTCCCCAACATCCTGCAAAACAACCTCTACTAGCACACAACTACTGCTGGCACTGTGAAAAACCCAGCCCCAAAATCCACAAAAGGAGAGGCAACACATATTTCTGTTTTAGAGATTGTATGGCAGCTTCAAAATTTTGAGAGCTTGACATGTTGGTGGTGATTGCATCTCCATCAAACAATCGATGCTCCATCTCGTACTTAACTTAAAACCTTCATATTCCAAAGTGCATCTCCAAAAATCTAACTAACAATTGGTAGTCAACATAATTCTTCAAATTTATGAAATAAACAATCCTCCATAACTAAGAGATTTTAAATGCAAATAAAAAATTGATATTAGCAAGGGTTGTGTACCAAAAAAAAAAAAGAAAGAAAGAAAAAAGGATACTCGCCTCATCTCCAAAAATCTATCTAACGATTGGTAGTCAATATAATTCTTCAAATTTATGAAATAACAATGCTTCATACTAAGAGAATTTAAATGCAAATAATAAAATTGATATTAGCAAGGGTAGTGTACCCAAAAAAAAAAAAAAAAAAAAAAAAAAAAGAAAAAGAGGATACTCACCTCATTGTCAATAACAGAAGCTTCAGGGAGGGCAGGAACTGAGAGTTCGAGCTCGCCACTTTGTCTCTTATGTCTTTCATACTCCAGAAGAGCCTAACACACGAACATGGGAAAGAGTAAGCAGAGGGAGGGGAACGTGAACCTACCTTATCGGGTAACATGAATTAGCAGAGACACATATTACAAAAAGCAATCAATGTAAGCTTGCGAGCTTTTCCAGTTCTTATTTCACATCCTGCACAGTTGTCGAGCAATACACAATTGTCCAAGGATGGGGTGAAACATTTTCAGACTTTCTTCCAATCACTTCAAATGCACATAATAAAGAAATAACAACATACAACATGCGAAAGCAGGTTTCCGTTTCTCAGTTACTAAATCTATTAGTACCCATAATTAATTTGCTCATTTAGATTGTATTCGGGTAATTGAACATGAAAGAGCATAAAACACAGATAGCAACCAATATAACCATGCCTTTTAACGGACATTCTATGGAATAGGATGCATTCTTCTTTGTTTCCATAGTTTAGTAACATTCAATGTGAATTCACACGTATTTAACAGTCGTGTATAGGCAGAAGCCTTCTCAAATGGAGAGTTTTTCTTTGAACTATATTTCGATTACATGATTCCAAATAGAAAAAACTTCAATTATTTTGGAAATTGGAAGGCGCAAAGTTCTTATTTCACTTCCTACACAGGTGTCCAGGGTTAGGATGAGGCGTTTTCAGATTCTCCAGCTAATCACTTCAAATGCAAAAAAAAACAAATGAAAAAAAGGGAAATAAATCATAAAATATAGAAGTGGCATGGACAATGAGATCAAAACCAGGTTGCTATTTCACTGTTTCGAATCCTATTAGTAACCAAAAAAATTCAAGTACATAAAATATTTTCTAGTAAAAAGATGCAATGCATCCATGTAACAAATATTTTGTAGCAAAAAAGCATTGGGTACATGCAGCAAAATTCACCTCAACTGCTAATGTGTAAAACAGAGAATGTTACAAGAAGAAAATTCAAAGTGAACTTGGCCATATTACCTTCTCATAGAAAACGCGGAATGTCCAAGAAACAGTTGTGCATGTCCTATAAGAAAAGAGGAGCACTCATCAGAGCTTTCAAAACTTTTTTCATCTCGTGCATGTCAAGTAAACCAAGATTAGCAAATTTAAAACCCATAAAACAAGATAATATAGCATTGTTGGATTGTTCAAAGACATTTCATAAATTTGACTACGCATGCATACTCACTTGATGTCCATTAGTCGTATTTAAGAACACCAGTTTAAAAAATCACTTAATTCAGAAATTTAACTCTATAAATCCAGCAACTGATCAGATAATCCATAAAGAACCTTACTTTGGAGGATGAAACGACTCTCCCACTTGCCTCCACAACTTTGACCCTGTCACCTGTTCACATCCATTAATTCATCAAAGTTGCAACAAACAAGCAAAAATATGGTCACCAGAAATACTTTCTGACTTAAAATGCTCTGCTGAGCCAAGCTTAAAATTAATGCTAGTATTATAATAAAAAACAGAAGTTCAAGTTTCTAGAGCAGCAGTACGGCATATAACATGAGTCGAGATGCAAGATTGCAGAGTCTTTGCAAGTTGTTGTGGTTATATTCGACTTTCAGAAAGTTCCAAATATAGTGCTAAAACTCTGTCAAGGTAGATTCAAATTCATATCTTTATCGAAGTCGATTGCAAGAAGTATGTTAACCTAGAAAGTGGTGTTCAGAGCTTAAAAGTACCAATTGATTTCGAAGCGCAAATATGACCAATATGCAGCAAAAAGGACAAAGGATTAGTATCTGACAAAAATATATGCCCTCATGCAGAAGCATAAAATTTTTTTTATAATGTGGTTTAAGACATACTCATTGTCAATGTTCAGCATTCCTTTTTTTACATAATAATTTTTGCATAGTTTTCCCCGTCTCAAAAGTAAATAGCTAATGATGAATTTGCTGTACATATAAAAATGTCCTGAGTTTCATGGAAGATTACAATGAAGTACAGGCAGTGCATGAATATGGAGAGAAAGGAAGGCAATATCAGAAAGAGAGAGGCAGCATAGAGTTGGGGGTTGGGGGGGGGGGGTTTAATGTCCACTGCAACAGGGCTAATATGTACAAGGAAAGTGGTTTCTGTTCAATTCATGTAAATGAGGAAATTTTGATCAGACAATCAGTTAGTAATCCTATATTGCTCCAAATACAGTCAAAAATGAGTTCCCGGAGTGGAAATCAAATATGATGATTGACTCTGCCTAAGGTCCCAACCAAAACATTGTGAAAGAAGACATAATTTTCCAAAAATATGTCAGCAAGATTAATTATATGATGCCCTCGCTAGAACCACCACTGACGAAAGCTGATGTTCCCTTCAATGAGGATCATTGCAAGGATGACTTCATCCAAAAGCAGATCCAGATTTAATCATCTAGCATAATTCTTGTTGATAAATAGGTTTGGTGAAAAACTTTGTAGGGAAGAAGATTATTAATCTTCCTCTAGTATGCTTCTATCATATAGAGATGGTAAAAGTATATACATAGAAAGACACGATACAAATATAGAAAAAAAAAATAAACCTAATTGCCTCTTGCCTAATTTCGTTATTCTGACTTACTTATTTTGTTAACACTCCCCCTCAAGTTAGAGTATATATATATATATATATATATATATATATATCATATCATATAAGCCAACTTTGAACTAAGAAACCTCAATCGATTACTATTCAACAACTTTGCAAACATATAAGTTGATCTCCTGTTTTCATAAATGGTGTACATACATCACCACTCATTACTTCATCCCAAACAAAGTGACAATTAACTTCAATGTGCTTGGTTCTTTCATGAAAGACTGAATTGAATGCAATATGTAAAGCAACTTGGTTATCATAGAATATCGGAGTAGGAGTAGGAGTAGGAGTTGAGAGATTGATTTTTTGAAGAAAGTTTTGTAACCATGTCAATTCATTAGTCGTATGAACTATTGCCCTATATTCAACTTCTACACTCGACCTTGCTACTACAGTTTGTTTCTTACTTTTTCAAGAAACAAGATTATCATCGAGAAAAGTACAGAAATCGATAGTGGATCGTCTATCTAATGGCAATCCTGCATAATCTACATCTGTAAAACCTTCTACTTTGACATATCTGTTTTGTTTATACAATAATTCAAGAGTTGGAGCCTTTTTCAAATACCGAATAATATGTATCACAGCTTCCCAATGGGACACCTAAGGAACATCTAATAACAAACTAACGACGCTAACTGCATAGGAAATATTTGGTCGTGCAATGGTAAGATAATTCAATTTTTCAACCAACGACAATATTTTTCTGGTTCTTCAAATGGTTCTCCTTCACCCTTTAGCAGCTTCACATTAGGATCCATGCGAGTATCTACTGGACGAGCACCAAGAAAACATGTCTCATCTAATAGGTCAAATACAAGTTTTCTCTGAGATAAGCTGATACCTACCCGAGACCTAACAACCTCAATACCTAAGAAATATCGGAGTTTGCCTAGATCTTTGGTATGAAATTGTTTTTGTAGAAACTATTTCAACCAAGCAATCCCCTCTACATCGTCACCAGTGATTACAATAGCATCTGCATAAACTACAAGAATCACATGGCCTGCACTAGTTTCTAGATAAAATACTGAATGATTAGTTTGACACCTCTAAAGACCAAATTGTAGAACAAACCTCAGAAAACTTCCCAAATCATGCTCTTGGAGATTGTTTTAATCCATATGAAGCCTTATTCAATTTACAAATATAGTTCTGGTACTCCCCCTAACAACAAATCTAGGTGATTGCTCCATATAAACATCTTTGTGCAAGCCATCATGAAGAAATGCACTTTTAATATCCAATTGAAACAGTGACCAACCAAGGCTAGCAGCAATAGAAATCAAAATACGAATAGAATAGATCTTAGCAACCGGAGAAAGTGTTTCATCATAAATAATACCATAGGTCTATGTGTAACCTTTAGCGATCAGTTGAGCTTTCAATCGATCAACAATTCAATTAGGATTGAATTTCGAAACATAGACCCGTCTATTAACAACTGAATGTATTCCACGTGGTGAAGGAACGAGTTCCCAAGTCTTACTTTCATGCAAAACAGCCATTTCTAATTCCACAGTCTTTCATCAGTTAGGATCAGATGAAGCCTGTGTCACTGTCTTAGATACAAAAACAGCAGAAAGCTAGAATGTAAAACAGTAGAACGAAGGTTACAACGAATCAAAAAGGACATGGTGGCTAATAGAAAGTTTAGTTACACAAGTACGTTTACCTTTACAGACAGCAATAAGCAATGACTCGAGATCAAAATAGATGCTGAATTCAGGATCTGCAGACGGCAACGTGATAGATGAAGGCACAAGTGACGATGGCTTAGACCATCGAGTATAAACTTGTAAAAGAGGATATAGTTCTATACGACAGGAGGACAACTCTGATGTGATAGATGGAAACAAGTTTGGTTCTAGAGAAATACTAATTGGTAGATATGGGACGGGTAAGCGAACAGATCCAGAGGGGAATCGGAAGACGTATTAGGAGTAGAGAAATAAGGTGTGGATTCGTCAAAAGTGACATCGACACTTACAAAGTAGCATCGTAGTGAAAAATTATAGTGTTGATACCCTTTTCGTGTTTGGAAGTAACCAAGGAAAAATACATTTAATGGAGCGTGAGTCAAATTTGTCGTGATTAGGACCATAGTGATGAACATAACAAGCATGGCCAAAAACTTAGGTAACGAGTACTGTGAAGAAGAAGAAAACAAAAGAGAGAAGGAAGATGCACAGTTCAAAACAAAGGATAACATGCAATTAATGAGATACCATGCAGTAAGGATAACATCACTCCAAAAGCGTTCAAGATCATGCATAAAACAAAGAAAAGCAAGAGTAACTTTAACAATTCTCAAAAACATAACATGGATGCATGGCATCATTCTCTTTTCACATGCTTATAGACATGAATGGTAATGCACGGGTGGAGGGCGGGAGGTCAATTTTATGCAGCCATGCTAGTAGAAAAGGGGAGAAGATCACATAACAAGAAGTAATGCGTGAAAATAAATTAATCAATTTATGATACATTTTTCTAACGATGTAAGATAAAAAATGCATGCAAGGAATTTGGCAGGGGATGATAGACGTATCAATAATCCAGATTTCTTTTGGTTTTGTAAGCACTAATGCATAATTATCATTTAGCCCCCATTTGAGCTACATTATTTCTCATTACATTAAATTAAATTTTTTTCCTCCTACTTTTAACCACACAATCTTCAATAAAAATAATATTACACGTAAATTAAAAACTTTTCAACCACTCATTTTTCAAAAAAACACTATTCATCTCATTATAATCTACAAATAATGGGGCTCAAACGGCCCCTCAATCAACCCATGCTATTTATCTCTAATTCTGTGAGAGAGAACAATCTAATGCATGCACGTAATTGGGAAAGGGAGAAACAAGAATAGATTATTTGGACTTCTTAGAAATTTATAAACACTACTATTTCAGTCTTACAGTACATTAAACTTTTTCTTATCTAAAAATTTGACGAATATAAGTAAAGATCTTATGCGCAACATGAGCAACTTGTTTTCTGAAACATGTAATATTATGTACCAAATCCAACAAAATTTTCGGAGATACTGATCAACTAATATTTGAGCATTTAACATTCTTATTGCTAATAAGCAGCAACAAAGTACAAATACAAGAATGTGTATGTATATATATATATTGGCATTCATACCCTATCATAGCCTCCCAATCTAATCACAGCTCTCCATAACCTACAGCCGAAGAAGAAAGGTAAAAAAGATTTACCCAAGAATAGACTTTTCATAAAATCAAAACCAGAACAAACTTACTTCAGGCAATTTAGTGGGTGCCCATAAAATTTAGGTGGCTTAAAATCTGTTTTGTTCTCCCTATGAAAAAATTCAAGTTCTTTCAAGAAGGCAGCTTGATCCTCTGGCGTTCCATCATCACCCTCTGCAATCTGAAACCAAAAGAAAAAAGATGAGCAAATGAAATCCTTTACTCTCTTCTTATCATATCTACACTTGATTTTTATAATTTTCAAATATCCTTTTGCATCTTCTATTTTATTGCAGTGACAGTAAGTACCTTTGCATGACTAAAAACTGTCTTGAATGCTTTCCCACCAGAATCTCCAGCCGTTAGAGTTGAATATCTGAAGACAGAATTGGGCGTAGCAGCTTCTTGATGATTTGGAAGCGAAGCATTATCAACTTCACGGTCAGATACGGTTTCACCAGACCTGGCATTCTCATCAGTTGATGCTGTAACTGGAACAACTTCAGTACCCCCTTCTTTCATCTCATTTTTAACAGTTTTATCCTCGGTATTATTAATCACATCTACCATTTCTTCATCCTTATACTGTGGAACCTCATCAGGCTCACAGCTCCTAGTTTGAAAAGCTTCATTTTTAGACACTTCCGTTGGAAGTTGCCCACTTCCAATAAGACTTTGTCTGATGTCAGCATTTTCCATAGGCTTTTCTTCTCGATAAATTTTTTTGACAGGATTTGTGTCCTCCCTGCCAATTTCATTGGGATTTTTTTCCTCTGAAACATTTTCAGTAGGTTTTTTCTCCATCACATTTTCAACAGGATGCCTACCCTGTATGCCGAGCGCGATGGGTTTTTCTGTTTGCACCCCACCGCCAGTAATACTCTGTTCATCCATTTGATATGTAGAATCAGTTGGTTCCTCCACTAAATTTATAGCATTGGTTTCGTCCTCCACATCGCTTTTGATTTTGATTTGATCCTCAGTCTTACTTTCTCTGTTGATTTGGTCCCTGACCTCACCCTTACTGTTGACTGACTCTTGTGAATTGCTCTTAGAGTTGATTTGTTCTTTCATCTTACTCTGAGCAAGGCTCTCATCATCTGTGTAGATTCTATAACTAGTTTGGCCATCTCTCCCACTCTTGCTGGCATTGGTAAAGCCTGCAGCAGCAGCCAGCGGCAATTCTTCTCCTCCGAATTCAAACATAGCAGAACAAAGTTTATTTTCTGACTCTGGTGCTTTATTAGTTGAATCTTGAGGATGCTCTTCAGTATCCTCTATCTCTACATCATTTTTATCCATTTTGATATCTAGTCACCAATATAAAATTTAAGAACTTTGCAGGGTCAGGAAAACAAAGAAAAACCTACATGCAAAAATACAAAGGAAATGGAAATTTGAAGACGAGACAAACATGAATTTCCATTGAAATTAATTTTCCACAGAAATCACATTCTTCTACACAGTGCAAACACAAATGCCAGGCAAAAACGAGATTTAAAGCAAAATACAATTTTCCAGAGCACGAACAAAAACCCATAGACAAAAAACCTCCGAAACTATAAAAATTGTTGATTTATTCTGGACAACTACATACTGTCAGAAAATTCAACAAAATAAACGAAAATCACGTGGGATGCCTGCGAGGGTCAGAATTTAAACTTGCCTGGGATGACACGCTAGAGCTTTGTGGAGGTGCTTCGGATGCAATGGCGCAATCTGGAGATTCGTCTACTTCTCAGTTAAACGAAAGGTGACTGTATTTGTCTGTTAAAATACGAAGGGTAAAAATCGGAAAAATCAAACGAATAGTTATCTATAAATGGAAATTAGAATGTATTTTAGATTATAATTGTGATGCGAAGAGAGCTTAGATAAGAAAAATGAGAAATTGGCCGGAAAATGGAGAATTTAGAGAGAGAAAATCAAAGCACGGGCGAGCCTCTGCTTTTGCGGTTGTTTCTCTTCTCAGTTCAAAAGAACGGGTTTGTCTCAACAATGCAACACCTGGATATGGATTTACAGTAGGAAATGTCAAATCTACCCCTTTCCCATTCGACCCTTTCGGAAATTTTTTGCATAGATGCTCCATTTGAGTTCCATTATTTGTAAATATAATGAGATGAATAATATTTTTTTTTAAAATAAATTGTTGAAAAATTTTTGATTTATGTGTAATATTATTTTATTGAAAATTGTTTGGTTAAAAGTAAGAGAGATAAAAATTTAATTTAATATAATGAGAAATAATAGGGTTCAAACAGGGCTAAGATACATGGAGGGATGAATTATCTCAACTTATATTCCGTTAAATTAAATATAATTTAGGGAGATTTGCTTAAGAAGCCTAGTCAATCATAATATTTGGTAAAATAGTCTATATCAATACTTTTTGTTCAAGTAGTCTATAATCTATTTGATTATATATTAAAAGTCTTAAATACCTTTAAATTGAAATGATTAAAATGTCCAATTTGGAGATCAATATTACCCAAATCTCCAAATATAAATCCCTAAATCCCCTTTATTTCTCCCGTTTCCAAATCCATTTTCACCATATTAAGACCACCTTCAAATTCAGCTTTATTCTTCTTCATATGCATTATTCTTGCTTACAATGAACGATTGCATGTTAAAATTCCCTTTCTTGAACCAAGAACAAATCAAATAGTGCAAATTTTGGAGGTGGGTTAGCAAGAATCGATTTCACACAGTTGAATGTGAGCTTTATAAATTGAAAATTATCAATTTATTTGATATAGGTTGGTAGAAGTAGCCACCCTCAAGGACAAGCAAGGCAGATCACAGCACACCGATAGGCGCGCTTTACCACTACACTTAGGGCGCGCTCTACCACTACGTCTAGGGAGCGCTCTACCACAACCCCCAAAGGGCGCTCTACCGCTATCCCTAGAAATCATTCTACCACTGAGCGAAATCCTCAACGGGAATGATATTCCTTGTCCAAACACTTAGCCATAAAACCTTTAATGAATTGACAAGGTAACATGGCCGCTGATATAGGTACAATTTTCAGACGGGAAGTTAAGGACTCATCACTCAGAACGTGGGTGTAGTGGGAATACCATCGTGGGACACGTGGCACCACAACCGCCTAGCGGTTACCTAGTGTCTAATATCTATAAATACCCTCGGATGTGACACAGGTAAGGGATTTTTTCTAGCTCCCATTCTCGTTTTAGCCATTTGAATTTCGAATATATTCTTTCCAAGTATGAAAACTAATTCTCACGCCAGAGGTAAAACGGGGGAGAAAGCCCCGCCTTCATTTTTCAGGTCTTGCATACTTGACGGAGTGGTGGAAACGCCAAACATTACCGGGCAAGCAGAAGGGTGTTGAATCACCGCCCTTTCATTGGCGCCGCCTGTGGGAAAATTCATTTGAACTAAAAAGCCATGTCAAGAAGACGAACAAGAAGTGATACTCGCCTGGTTGGGAACACGGCGAAGACGGAGTCGGAGTCAGTTGCAAGGGGTCATGAACCACCACCGTCTCCGTAGTATGTGACGCAGAGTCAATTCAGCGCTTTAAAAAACCAGTTGGCAGCAATGATGGTGCTTTTGCAAGACCAGTCGCAGAGAACCACCATCCCTCATTTAAGCCCGACGGAAGTGACGAATCAACAACCGCCTCAAGCGCCACCCACGGTTGTCCCACCCACCTCTCAGCGGGGAGCGGGAGACGCGGGAGCCCCAATGACCGGAGCTCAATAGCCCCCGCAAACCATGGTAGACCTGGAACGAAAGATGGAAGAAATCATGTCACAGAAGATAGACGATGCGTTGTCCAAAAGGAAGGATAAGCGGAGACAGATGGTTTTGGAGGAAGACCCGTTTGCCCCAGAAATCATGGCGGTCCCTTTGCCTAAAGGCTTCAAACAGCCCATGATTGAAGCCTATGATGGAGTCACGGACCCGCTTGACCATCTACGAACCTTCGTGGATCTGATGAGACTTTATGCCACCCCGGACGCAGGTGATGTGCCGATCCTTTCCCCCCACGCTCAGGAGGGAGGCTAGGGACTGGGTAGCAACCTTGGCCCCGCGCTCCATCAAGTCATTTGATGAGCTCTCCAGGAGCTTTGTGGCTTATTTCCTAAGCAGCAAGAGGAAGAGGAAGAGGAAGACAGCCATTGGGTTGATGCAGGTCGTACAGGACAAAGACGAGTCATTGCAAGAATACTTAGCCAGGTTCAGCCGGGCAACTCTTGGCATTAGAGACCTGCAAATGTTCGCAGTGGTTACAGCCTTGATGAATAGAACGCGAAACCGGGCCTTTAAGATGTCACTCTCCAAGAACCCCCCGGAGTCGATGCATGACCTATTAAAGAAGGGAGACAAGTATGTCGATGCGGAGGAAGCGGAGAAGGTAACTAAAAATCTCAGGGATGGAAGAAAGACGGAAGCTAATAAGCGAAAAACATATGACGAGCAAAGGCACAATGATAAAAATAAGCCGAAGAGTGAACGCACGAGCAAGGGTTATGTCCAAGACCGGTCAGTCAGGCAAAAATGAGAGGAGGTCAAGACACCCACCCCTTTGAACATTCCACGAACAAAGTTATTGATGGAGATACAGCACATGAAGGAGCTCGAATGGCCCAAACCAATGCTAACCCCTTCGGGCAAGAGAAATCAAAGTAAATACTGCCATTTTCATAGAGATCACGGGCATGATACCGAAGAATGCCTACAGTTAAAGAAAGAAATTGAGCGCCTGCTGAGACGGGGGCTATTGGCAAAGTATGTGAAAAACGACAAGGGCAGGCAAAGGGTCGAAGGTATACCCCCACCAAGAGCAGGAGTGATAAACATGATCATCGGAGGAGTAGCATCGGGCGGCGACTCAAATTCAGCTAGGAAGAGTTATGCGCGTTCATTAGGGGTCTGCTCTATACAGGAAAAAGCAAGATTCAACCAGAGTATAACTTTCGATGAAGAGGACATGATTGGTGTAACTCACGCCCATGATGACGCCTTAGTAATAGTAGGCGATGTTGCGGATTTTGACGTGAAGAGGGTATTAGTCGATGGAGGGAGTGCGGCAAATGTCCTCACCTGGGATGCCTTCTTGGTTCTAAAAATCCCCCAAGAAAGGTTGAAGGTGGTGACTACCCCCTACAAGACTTTAAAGGGGCAACAGTGATACCGGAAGGGACTGTAGAGCTTTTAGTCACGCTTGGGACATACCCAGCGACAGTGGTGATCATGACTAATTTCTTGGTTGTCAAGACCCCCATGGCTTACGACGCTATCTACGGCCGGCCATTGCTAAATGCAGCTGGCGCGGTCCCATCGACATACCATCAAATTATGAAGTTCCCAACCAGCAGGGGGATCGGGAGCGTGCGAGGAGACCAGCATGCATCAAGAAAGTGCTATGTGGATAGTATACAAGCCAAAAGCCCACCATCAGTCATGATGCTGGATGTAGAACTCCCGAGGGAGCGGATCGAGCCGCTTGATATGATTGAAAAAATCTTTATTGACGAAGGAAAGGAGTTTCTTATTGGAACAGGTCTGGGATCCGAAGAGAAGGAAAAATTGGCGAAGTGTCTAGCCGAAAATTTGGATGTTTTCGCTTGGAACCCAAAGGATATCCCAGGGATTAGCCCAACTGTCGCGCAGCACCGCCTCGGTGTCCAGCCAGGGGCTAAGCCAATGAAGCAGAAAAAGAGAAACCTTGCCCCTGAGAGGCAGGCTGCGGCCAGAGCAGAGGTGGAAAAATTGCTACAGGCGGGTTTTATCCGAGAGATGCAATACCCCGAGTGGTTGGCAAATGTTGTACTTGTGAAGAAGTCAAATGGAAAATGGCGCATGTGTGTAGACTATACTGGGTTGAACAAGGTATGCCCAAAAGACTCATACCCACTTCCCAGAATAGATCAACTGGTAGACGCAACGTCGGGTTATGAAAGGCTCAGCTTTCTAGATGCATTTTCGGGGTATCATCAAATTTCAATGGCCGAGGCCGATCAGGAGAAGACGTCATTTATCACGGACTTCGGCACGTACTGTTACACAGCCATGCCATTTGGCTTGAAAAACGCAGGAGCGACATATTAGAGGATGGTGAACAAAGTCTTTCGTGGGCTAATCGGAGGTGTCGTAGAAGTCTATGTTGACGATATGGTGGTCAAGAGCGCCAGAGCCAATGACCATGTGGCCTGTTTGCAGAAAGTGTTTGACGTTGCCCGACAAAACAGATTAAGGTTCAATCCAGAGAAGTGTGTTTTTGGTACCGCAGGTGGAAAATTTCTAGGTTTCATGATCACGCAAAGGGGCATCGAAGTGAACCCGGACAAAATTTGGGCAATCCTAGAAATGAAAAGCCCCACCAGCAGGAAGGAGGTTCAGAGGCTAACGGGGCGGGTAGCGGCCTTAAATCGTTTCATAAGCCGGGCGGCGGACAAATGCTACCACTTCTTCAAAGCTATAGGGGGCTCCTCCAATTTTGAGTGGACCCAGGAATGCGAAGAGTCTCTTAGGAACTTGAAGCAGTCATTACAAGAGCCCCCGGTCTTGACCAGCCCATCTCCTGGGGACGTGTTGTGTCTCTACTTGGCAGTATCACCAAAGGCAGTCAGCGCGGTCCTGGTGAAAGAGTTCTTGAAGGTGCAGAAACCAGTCTACTATGTGAGCCAAGTATTGAGGGGTGCAGAAATAAGATACAGCCTGACTGAATAGCTGGTGTTTGCATTAATTGTCGCGGTCAGGAAATTGAGGCCTTACTTTCAGTCTCACACGGTGCAAGTAATGACTGACCAACCTATCAAGCAGATTCTACATCAGCCCGAGACCTCTGGGAGGTTGTTGAAATGGGCCATCAAGTTAAGCGAGTTTGATATCGAATTCAGGCCAAGGACAACTATTAAGGCACAGGCTTTAGCAGACTTCATTGTTGAGCTCACCACCCTGCCCGAGCTCCCACCAGGGGAGCAGGCAGATTGGAAAATTTTTGTCGATAGATCTTCAAATGACGAAAGATCCGGGGCAAGGATCATAATGATAGGTCCGAATGAGGAAGAGTTGGAATACTTACTGCATTTTGAATTCCCAGCAACAAATAACGAGGCCGAGTACGAAGCAGTAATCACGGGTTTGGGATTGGCAGCCAGACTCGGGGTAACCTCAGTGGAAATTTGCAGCGACTCTCAGTTGATAATCGGGCAAGTGACGGGGGAATTCGAAGCAAAGGACGGAAAGATGGCTGCATATTTAATTGAGGTCAAAAACTTGCAGAAGGGGTTCACTAAGTTTAAGATAACTAAGGTCCCTCGAAAGGACAATGAGCGAGCGGATGCGCTGGCTAAGCTCGCATCAGCCAACCCCAGACGACTGCCTCGCACAGCCAGTGTGCAAATTCTGCGATAACCTAGCATCCAACACGTAATCGATGTTATGAACGTAGAGAATGAGGAAAGTTGGATAGACCCGCTGTTTGAGTATCTCACAAAGAATAAATTGCCGGATGATGCTCTCACAGCCAGAAGGCTAAAAGTTCGGGCAGCCTCGTTTGCCATCATCGATGGGCAACTCTACAAGCGAGGCTTCACAATGCCATATTTGAAGTGTTTGCGACCGACAGAAGCACAGGAGGTGCTAGTCGAAGTACATGCGGGAATTTGTGGCAACCACCAAGGGGCGACTACCCTTGCGTTCAAAACGCTTCGACAAGGATATTATTGGCCTAGTATTAAGGAAGATGCTAGAGAGTTGGTGAGAAAATGCGATGCATGCCAACGCCATGGAAATCTGATCCACATTCCGGCCGAGCAACAGACGGCAGTTTTTGGGGTGTGTCCCTTCTTCCAATGGGGGATGGACATCTTGGGACCTTTGCCCCTGTCAAAAGGACAAAGGAAGTTCTTGTTAGTTGCCGTCGACTACTTTACTAAGTGGGTGGAAGCTGAGCCTTTGGCCACCATCACGACTGCAAAGATACAGGGATTCGTCTGGAAAAATATCATATGCAGGTTTGGTATACCTCGGGTAATCATTACAGATAATGGAAAACAATTCGATAATCACAGTTTTAGAGCTTTCTGCACCAGCTACCACATCGACCACAGGCTGACTTCAGTTGCTCACCCGCAGGCAAATGGGCAAGCAGAAGTGACCAATCGAACCATACTGTGGAATTTGAAGACAAGGTTAGAAAAAGAAAAAGGACTTTGGGCTGAGGAGTTGCCCAATGTACTATGGGCATATCACACTACCCCCCGAGAGTCGACCGGGGAGACGCCATTCAAACTGGCCTTTGGGATGGAAGCCGTGGTTCTCGTTGAGATCTTAAGAGAGACAGGAAGGATGAAAGTCAAGCAACCCGACGACGCAGCAACTAGGGGAGAACTCGACCTCCTCGAAGGGGTAAGGGACAAGGCGGCAATAAGAATGATGGCTTATAAACGAAGAGCCGCTGAGTACTTCAACCGGAGAGTGAAGCCAAGGGTCTTCCAGCCAGGAGATCTCATTCTAAGAGATGCAGCAGCGGTAGGACACTCCCACCAAAGCTTGGTCCAAACTGGGAAGGCCTGTACGAAGTAATTCGCAGGCTGGGAAAGGGAGCTTACAGCTTGAAAGATATAAAAGGAAGGCCGCTAGGTAGACCATGGAATGCAGAACACCTCAAAAAGTATTACCAGTAGAACTCAAAATGTACACGCCGGCTGCGCTTTTGTAAGTATAGTAGATTGGGTTGCATTGTTTATTTTCTCTATGTAATGCCTCACGAAGGCACCCTTAGTTGTAACAATTTATCTTATTCAATGAAAGACCTTGGCGGTGACGGATGATGAGGGCACTATGGAAGGGCCAGCCTAGCTGGGACGTCCCGGTGCACCTACTGAGCTCACAAGACCAGGAATTTTTTATGCCAACAAGCAACTTTGAAATCCACGCCCACCCCACTAAGACATGCGGTCGACGTAGCCTACGCGGCTAGGTGGAGAGTCTTGAAAAGTCAAAAAATTGGCTAAGGCCCTTAACCACCAAATCACCCCCTGCATTCGACATAGCCCACGCGGCTATGTGGAGAGCCTTGGAAAGTCAAAAAATTGGCTAAGGCCCTTAACCACCAAATCACCCACTGCGGTCGACATAGCCTACGCGGCTAGGTGGAGAGCCTTGGAAAGTCAAAAAATTGGCTAAGACCCTTAACCACCAAATCACCCCTTGCGGTCGACATAGCCTACGCGGCTAGGGGGAGAGCCTTGGAAAGGCAAAAAATTGGCTAAGGCCCTTAACCACCAAATCGTCCCCTGCGGTCGACATAGCCTACGCGGCTAGGTGGAGAGCCTTGGAAAGTCAAAAAATTGGCTAAGGCCCTTAACCACCAAATCGCCCCCTGCGGTCGACATAGCCTACGTGGCTAGGTGGAGAGCCTTGGAAAGTCAAAAAATTGGCTAAGGCCCTTAATCGCCAAATCGCCCCCTGCGGTTGACGTAGCCTACGCGACTAGAAAGAGAGCCGTAAAAATAAAAAAAATAAAAAATATATATATCCAAGCCGGAGGGGTCTATAGAAGGATGTTCGGCCATAATCCACTCCTTGGAGAGCTTAATTGATGCTGACATCGCCTTCCCCCCGTATGAGTTCAAAGCCTTAGCATAATCGAACGATGTCTTATACTGATCCACAGCCGCCTTGAGATCTATAGCGTACTCATCTGAGGCTTTATACCTCTCAACCGCCTCTTTAGGAGCACGAGCCAAAACAGAACGTAGGTTGTCGATCTCCGTCTCTTGCTCACGAGCTCGAGCGTCCGACATCTCCAGAGATTTCCTCAAGGAGGATATTTTCTTCTTGTGGTGATGAGCCTCCTTTTTCTTTTCTTCAGTAAGAGTTTTCAGCTCTGAGACCAGACGGCGATTCGACTCAACGAGTCCGGTCTGGAGGGCCACCACCTAAAAAAAATGTATAAGGGGAAAAAGAGTGAAACCACGAGTTAAAGTCTAACTTAAAAGGCGAGATCCAACATGAAAGAAATCTCGAAATGAGAAACATACCCTCTGAAGGTAAACAGCCGCAGCCCTTTCTATGTCATCTGCGCTGCGCCCTGCAATCGCTCTGGATCGAGCGGGGGTCACCAACAACTTAAGCACCCCCATCTCATGATAGCCCCGGGTGGAAGGAAACCCAAAGCTAGGAAGCGAGTCCTCGCGCTCACATCGCGCACGACTAGGAGCTCCCGGCCTAGGAGCTAGAACCACATCACGAGGCTTATCTAAAGGCTGAGAAGTCTCGTTGATCGTCTGAGACTTTCTCCCAAGGTCGCCCCCCTCCTTCTCTTTGAAGGGATAGGCAAAGGATCCACCTCACCCTCCTGCCCCTGGTCAGGCATGGAGTCCATGACTCCTTCCAGATCAAGCTCGGCCCCTGCACATGTAAGTTGAAATCAGTTAAACTCACAAGGTAGAGTACAAAAAAAAGAGAGAGGGGGGGGAAGAGAGGGTGGGGGTGAATATGAAAGCTT